CTGGCTCTTTGGTCCCGCCTCTCAACTGTCAATCAACAGGTGTTCAGGTTCCTGAGCCTACTGGGCTCTATCATATATACACTTGAAACTGTGTATGGAGTCAGCCTCCATCACATCACTGCCTAATGCATTCCATTTGTCAACTACTCTGACACTAACAAAATTCTTTCTAATATCTCTGTGGCTCATTTGGGCACTCAGTTCCACCTGTGTCCCCTAGTGCGTGTGCCCCTTGTGTTAAATAGCCCGTCTTTGTGTGTGTGTGTGTGTGTGTGTGTGTGTGTGTGTGTGTGTGTGTGTGTGCGTGCGTGCGTGCGTGCGTTCGCTTTCGCGTGCGTGCTAAATTAAGCGAGCATGACACCCTTTTGAAGTGTTTGCTAGAAAAAGTACTCAACTTCTGAGTGAAAGACTGAGAGTGGGAACAAGCAACTCTTCCTGTCTGACTAGCATGGTGGCCTTGGTGTCAGCACAGCCTCCCAAATTGCTCTACCACCTGTCACAATATATCCCTGGAAGAGGGGCAAACAGCTGGTGTGGGACTACACATGTGACTCCACCCTGCCTGTCTGACACTTATATAACCTTCGGTAGTAATCAGGTGTGTGGTGCGGTCATCCACATGGAAGCAGTAAAATCAAACAAGTAAAAGAAACTGGCAGGTCACTAAACCTTGGTTGTCATAGCATCTGAGATGCTTGGGCCCTGGGGAAGGGGAGGGGGGCCTTGAACGTTTCTCATAGAATTGGGTTCTAAGCTCATTGACACTACTAGAGATCCAATAGCTGCCAGTTTCCTGTTTAAGCACCTGTGTGTGGCGATCCAGAGGGAAAACGCCAGCTGTGTCATTGGCCCCTGTTCAGAAGTTGAGGAGCTCCTAGAGACCCCACAACCTCTAACCTCTAATTGTATTCTCTAATGTTTAGCTTGTAACCTTCAGAATATCAAATAAAGGAAAATAAAATATAAAGAGAGGGAGGGTGATAGGACAAAAGAATATGGAAACTGCATTTGGGAATATGAAAACTCTGCATCCCCCGAGTCCTGCATATGTTCTTCGAGGCTGAGGATACTCTGCCTGTACTGTAGGCTCCTCGAGCAGTGTTGCAGAACATGTTGATGGCCTACACCTCCGAAGCTCGTATTCTGTGGCCAGAGGGTAAGCTCTATTTACAAGTTGATGTTGTGGCAAAGGGGTCCCCAGTGGCAAGGAGTCTCGTTCACCCAGGCATTTATATCGCATGTTGAGTCCTCCACTCTTCTGAACTGAGCAGTAGTATATACTGTGGACATGTCGACGATATATTCATATGTGTTAACGACGAAAGCACATTGGAGAGGTTTCGTAGCGAGCTTCAAGAAGTCTCAGGCTTAAGATTCACTTGTGAGAAAAGTGTGGGAGGCAGACTACCCTTCCTCGATGTTCTAGTGGATGGTACTTGTGATAGGTTCACTACAGACGTGTATCGTAGACCAGCTGATGTGGGTAACTGTATGAGTGTATGGGCAGGTAAGAGAGAAGCGTCATCTGTGACTGTGCAGGTCGTACTTGCTCCTCTTGGCAGCTCTTACACCGTGAATGTATCCAACAAATAATTGTAAATAACGATTATAGTCACAGAAACCGATTAAATCGTTAGTAAGACGCTAAGTCACTGGGGATAATAGGACCCCAGAGGAGGACAGTCGGCCCCAAGGGGAAACATTATAGTGTTTTTTATACAAAGTTTCCCAAGGTTTAGGGATGGGATGAAAAAGTGATACTGCATATAATTGACAGGAATTGTAATATACGCAACGAAAATGCTTAGACTCGTCCTATGTAAAGAACATAAGAATAAAGGTAACTGCAGAAGGCCTATTGACCCATACGAAGCAGCTCCTATTGATAACCATCCAATCCCACTCATACATGTCCAACCCACGTTTGAAGCAATCAAGGGACAACACTTCCATTACTCTACGCGATAATTGGTTCCAAACCAGTATTTTACCGAACCAGTATTTACCCAGACCTTTCCTAATCTAAACTTATCCAATTTATACCCGTTGTTTCGTGTTGTGTCTTGTGTTGACAGGACAGGCACCAATGGGGTATGCATCTATACTGAGTATAGATGCATCTTTTTATGCATCTAAACGCAGCCACCATACACACCCGGCGATGGGTGGGCGGCGGCTGAATGGACAGCGCTCTACACTCGTGGACTTAATGACCGGGGTTCGATCCCCCACCACCGCCGGAAGCACCACCTGCTTCGGGCTGCGTCCTGTGTGTAGGTGTGTGCGTGTGTAAGATAAATATATATAGTAGAAATAATAGAGGAAAAATAAACTGGTTAGAAAGGCGGGGTCCAAGAACTAATAGGGCGATTCTGCAGTTACAAATAGTAAATACAGAGAGATAGTAAACACATAGAGACACCGTCCGTGTGGAGACGGTGAGCAGAAACACTTACATAATACAGCATGTGAAGAGTTACAGAGCGTCGTGGTGTGAGGCCTTACACCACCAAGTTGTCTGTCTTGGGCTCCTCTACCACTTCCCTCCTTCTTTTACTGTGGCTTCTCGTCCTTTCCACTTCTACTCCTTATCCTAATCCGTCAGTTGTCTTTACTGTTCCTCCTCCCCTCTTTTTCTTATGGGAATGTTTATGTTGCTCCTCTTCCTGCTTCTCCTGCCCCCCTCCTCCTGCCCCTCCTGCCCCTCCTCCTGCCCCTCCTCCTGCCCCTCCTGCCCCTCCTCCTGCCGCTTCTCCTGCCCCTCCTGCCCCTCCTCCTGCCCCTCCTCCTGCCCCTCCTGCCCCTCCTCCTGCCCCTCCTGCCCCCCTCCTGCTGCTTCTCCTGCCCCTCCTGCTCCTCCTGCCCCCCTCCTGCTTCTGCTCCTCCCTCCTGCCCCCTCCTGCTTCTCCTGCCCCCCCTCCTCCTGCCCCTCCTCCTGCTCCTCCTGCCCCTCCTCCTGCTCCTCCTGCCCCCCCTCCTCCTCCTCCACCACCACTTACCCCACAGCAACTTTCACCTAGTGAGTGAGTGTGGAAGGAGCAATGGTTGTTACGGGGATGTCACATTCATCAGTCATTTTCTCATCCTTAAGTAATTATTGTCAATGACACGTCACTTCCTGGTGCCATTTTCTCTTCCGTGTGATGATCTCTAGCCGAGAGACGTCACTTTCTTCAGTCACTGGCAGGTAGTTAAGGCGGGACCGGAAAGTGTTCCATGAATGGGGTTCATGGCGTGGTCACAGTAGCGGTAGTTATCACCGGCGTAGTTAAGTGCCTCGTTAATAACTGGTTGTTAACTCATAATAGACACTCATTATTATCTACAGCCAAACGTGGCAGTGATAAGACTCGGCGGCCTGGCGGATTGACATTCGGAGTGCTACCACCTTCTTTATAACAATAATATACAACCTGCCCTCATGCTAGGCTCCTTAAAGCTGCGCCCAGCCACAAAGATGAATTCATTCATTTTAACGTATACACAAAGTTCTCAAATATATATATTAATGTTATATAGTTATGTATAATTAGGCGAAGGTGGGGTGTTTAGAGCCTGTTGGGCGTCATTTGTACTTGTGTTAAGTAGATGAGCCATTATTGAACTGTGACTGGACCAGAGGTCACCAGCTGTGACTGAACCACAGGTCACCAGCTGTGACTGAACCACAGGTCCCCAGCTGTGACTGAACCACAGGTCCCCAGCTGTGACTGAACCACAGGTCACCAGCTGTGACTGGACCAGAGGTCACCAGCTGTGACTGAACCACAGGTCCCCAGCTGTGACTGAACCACAGGTCACCAGCTGTGACTGGACCAGAGGTCCCCAGCTGTGACTGAACCACAGGTCACCAGCTGTGACTGGACCACAGGTCACCAGCTGTGACTGGACCCCACCAGCTGTGACTGAAGCTGTCACACTCAGGTCATTAACGACTATTTGACCTTAGGTGATAACTGCAACAATGACTCGGACCACAGGTCACCAGCTGTGACTGGACCACAGGTCACCAGCTGTGACTGGTGCGTGGAGCAGCTGTCATAAAGACTGACTCAGGCGGCTCATTAACGACTATTTGACCTTAGGTGATAACGAGGCGCTGCAACAATAACCTTGGCTTATGAAATATCGAAGGTCGTAAACTGTTTACAAAATGTAAATAATGCTGCCGTAATTGAGGAAAGATGTACATGTTTCGTAAGTGGTTGTGCACATGGTTGGTGACTCCTGGTCCTTATGTCTCATGTGTGTGTGTGTGTGTACTTATCTAGTTGTGCTTGCGGGGGTTGAGTTCTGGCTCTCTGGTCTCGCCTCTCAACCGTCAATCAACTGGTACTCACCTAATTGTACTCACCTAATTGTGCTTGCGGGGGTTGAGCTTTGGCTCTTTGGTCCCGCCTCTCAACTGTCAATCAACTGGTGTACAGATTCCTGAGCCTACTGGGCTCTATCATATCTACATTTGAAACTGTGTATGGAGTCAGCCTCCACCACATCACTTCCTAATGCATTCCATTTATTAACTACTCTGACACTGAAAATTTTTTTTCTAACGTCTCTGTGGCTCATGTGGGTACTAAGTTTCCACCTGTGTCCCCTTGTTCGTGTCCCACCCGTGCTGAAGAGTTTGTCTTTGTCCACCCTGTCAATTCCCCTGAGAATTTTGTAGGTGGTTATCATGTCTCCCCTTACTCTTCTGTTTTCCAGGGATGTGAGGTTCAGCTCCTTTAGCCTTTCCTCGTAGCTCAATCCTCTCTGGTGTACTGGTGTACAGGTTCTAACTGGTGTACAGGTTCCTGAGCCTACTGGGCTCTATCATATCTACACTTTATGCTGTGTATGGAGTCAGCCTCCACCACATCACTTCTTAATTTATTTCATTTGTTCACTTCTTTGATATTGCAAATATTCCTTCTAATGTCTCAGCTGTATATAAATATATACATCACTATATAAAGCCAATATTCCATCCGTCCATCACTATAAAGCCAATATTCCAGCCGTCCATCACTATAAAGCCAATATTCCAGCCGTCCATCACTATAAAGCCAATATTCCAGCCGTCCATCACTATAAAGCCAATATTCCAGCCGCCCATCACTATAAAGCCAATATTCCAGCCGTCCATCACTATAAAGCCAATATTCCAGCCGTCCATCACTATAAAGCCAATATTCCAGCCGTCCATCACTATAAAGCCAATATTCCAGCCGCCCATCACTATAAAGCCAATATTCCAGCCGTCCATCACTATAAAGCCAATATTCCAGCCGCCCATCACTATAAAGCCATTATTCCAGCCGTCCATCACTATAAAGCCATTATTCCAGCCGTCCATCACTATAAAGCCAATATTCCAGCCGCCCATCACTATAAAGCCAATATTCCAGCCGTCCATCACTATAAAGCCATTATTCCAGCCGTCCATCACTATAAAACCAATATTCCAGCCGCCCATCACTATATAAAGCCAATATTCCAGCCGCCCATCACTATAAAGCCATTATTCCAGCCGCCCATCACTATAAAGCCAATATTCCAGCCGCCCATCACTATAAAGCCAATATTCCAGCCGCCCATCACTATAAAGCCATTATTCCAGCCGCCCATCACTATAAAACCATTATTCCAGCCGCCCATCACTATAAAGCCATTATCCTCTCTCATCTTTTCTATATAAAATATCTTTACTGTTTACTGGTTTCAAGCACAACTTCTGTGTCTTTTACCTTATAATTTTATTTACATATATGTAGTTATCGTATAACTTTTTATATAATTTTTTTATATTCCAATTTTAGCATCATCAGTACCTACAATCTTTACTTATTTATTAGACATTGTCGGTTTGTCTGTCCAAGGTTAGAGACCAGATGCTTGGGGTCAGCTTCACCCAACTCTGCAGGGTGCATGGTCTGGGGCACGAGAGGGACATAGGCTGGTTTGGGTCATCAGAACTGAAGAGGGAGCACCGTGCTACGGTCACAAACTGACGCCCTCCACTGATTTTATCACTGGCTGCCAACTAGGCCTGGGAAAATATTTAAAAAATAAAAAAAATATGAACCAATTATAGTAATATGGAAAAATTATACACTGATGTGAAAATGATAACATTTTATATTCATATATTGCACGTGACAGTGTAATATACACGATCCTCCCAGAGCTTCAAAGGCTTTCTCTAAAGCAAAGGTAAATTATTGTACTTTTGTTCCTGGTGGGAGAGAAGAGAGGAGATGGGTGAGAAGGAAAAGATCTATTTGTCATTATAGTATTTTTCATGCATTGGGAAAGATTAACAAGTAGTCTATTTATCATACTCTGGCCATGAAGGCTAAAGCACACAAGATAAAAGCGAGCCTCCACCATCTGCTAAACTCGGCGCCCTTCTCACAGCCACTGGCAACTGTTATCACTGTTCACACTGCTCGGCTCCTCTCGCCGGCCCACCATACCCACGCCATTACAAACTATTATATTATTCTTTTAAGTGACAGATAATCAGCAAAAAATAGATACAGAATCAGACAGACGTACGGTGACAAAGACTGACATACAGACAGACGTACGGTGACAAAGACTGACATACAGACAGACGTACGGTGACAAAGACTGACATAGAGATGAAGAAACAGACAGATATACGCGTGCAAAAGAGCGAGTCGACGAGGGCAAAGAGAGAGAGAGAGACGGGAAGACAGACACCAACAGAAAGAGACAGACAGACAGACTGGTAGTGACAGTGACAGGGAGAGAAGGAAGGAGACGCGGGAAGTGAGGATGTTTGAAGAGAGGGGGAGAGAACTTTGGACAGGGAGACAAGAGGGTGTAGAGAGGGAAGATGAGAGATAACAAGGTGGTGTGTGTGTGTGTGTGTGTGTGTGTGTGTGTGTGTGTGTGTGTGTGTGTGTGTGTGTGTGTGTGTGTGTGTGTGTGTGTGTGTGTGTGTGTGAGAGTGTGAGAGAGAGAGAGAGACAGAGAGAGAGACAGAGACAGAGACAGAGAGACAGAGAGACAGAGAGAGAGAGAGAGAGAGAGAGAGAGAGAGAGAGAGCGAGCCACCGGGTCCCCGGGTCCCCCCTCCTCCCCATGTAGTCTATATATCTTACCCCCGGCACCCAGTTTTGTTGCGTGCGATTGCACTAGCTACAATTTTTCCCCTGGGAACGGGGCAACATAAATTATTGCAGTTTCGCTCTGACATTTGTCATGACAAAATGTCATTTTTGCATTTGCAATCTGCAAATAGCATTTGCAATTTACGTGCTATTCTAAAATTTGCTAATATAGCATAGCAATCTTTGTGTTACCCAGGTTATGTGTGTGTGTGTGTGTGTGAGTATACAGGGAGTCTCAATAGGACCTTTGTTCATATCTTTTGTCAAGTGATTGAAAGAACTGATTCTCCATTCCGACCAGTGTGCCAGAGGGGCTGATTGGTCGACAGAGGGCCAACACAACCTGTCTTCCGCCAGAGTGCCAGCTGGAGTGCCAGTGGACCATATGCGCTCGTTATATGCCTCTGACAAGTCTCTCATCTGAAATAATTGCGCCTAACCATAGACATAATTACCTAAACTAACCTGTCGAGGCCTGGGAACATTAATACGATTTTGCGTACACATTGTCGCGTAATTTTGATCTAAATAGTCTAATTTGGAGGCTGCTGTAAATACCGTCCAAATTGAGGTGCATTGTGAGGACGGGTTGACGTGTGTACGGTTGGGCAACATTAACGTGTCGTGGACGGGTCATGTTTGACACGGGCCTCGGCAGGTGAGGAGGACTCTATATGTCTGAAGAAACACATTTGGCCTCGTCAATGTCCGCCTCTGTAATGTGACTAAGCCGTACTTAAGACACGGACACATCACACCATCAAGATAGGATATATTTATTTATTTATTTATTTATATACAAGAAGGTACATTGGGAGTTAAGAGAGAGTATATAGAAATGATGATGATTTTACATTCCTGTAAAGCCACTAGCACGCATAGCGTTTCGGGGAAAACGGTATATAATACTTTAGACGATCTTACACTGTTGTGATTGTCTTGAGCTGTTTTGTGTGGTGCTGGAGTGTTTGGTAGAGGTGTGTGGGTGCTGCCTGTGTGCCCCCGGGAGCAGAGGTGTGTGGGTGCTGCCTGTGTGCCCCCGGGAGCAGAGGTGTGTGGGTGCTGCCTGTGTGCCCCCGGGAGCAGAGGTGCGTGGGTGCTGCCTGTGTGCCCCCGGGAGCAGAGGTGTGTGGGTGCTGCCTGTGTGCCCCCGGGAGCAGAGGTGTGTGGGTGCTGCCTGTGTGCCCCCGGGAGCAGAGGTGTGTGGGTGCTGCCTGTGTGCCCCCGGGAGCAGAGGTGTGTGGGTGCTGCCTGTGTGCCCCCGGGAGCAGAGGTGTGTGGGTGCTGCCTGTATGCCCCCGGGAGCAGAGGTGTGTGGGTGCTGCCTGTGTGCCCCCGGGAGCAGAGGTGTGTGGGTGCTGCCTGTGTGCCCCGGGAGCAGAGGTGTGTGGGTGCTGCCTGTGTGCCCTCGGGAGCAGAGGTGTGTGGGTGCTGCCTGTGTGCCCCCGGGAGCAGAGGTGTGTGGGTGCTGTCTGTGTGCCCCCGGGAGCAGAGGTGTGTGGGTGCTGCCTGTGTGCCCCCGGGAGCAGAGGTGTGTGGGTGCTGCCTGTGTGCCCCCGGGAGCAGAGGTGTGTGGGTGCTGCCTGTGTGCCCCCGGGAGCAGAGGTGTGTGGGTGCTGCCTGTGTGCCCCCGGGAGCAGAGGTGTGTGGGTGCTGCCTGTGTGCCCCCGGGAGCAGAGGTGTGTGGGTGCTGCCTGTGTGCCCCCGGGAGCAGAGGTGTGTGGGTGCTGCCTGTGTGCCCCCGGGAGCAGAGGTGTGTGGGTGCTGCCTGTGTGCCCCCGGGAGCAGAGGTGTGTGGGTGCTGCCTGTGTGCCCTCGGGAGCAGAGGTGTGTGGGTGCTGCCTGTGTGCCCCCGGGAGCAGAGGTGTGTGGGTGCTGCCTGTGTGCCCCCGGGAGCAGAGGTGTGTGGGTGCTGCCTGTGTGCCCCCGGGAGCAGAGGTGTGTGGGTGCTGCCTGTGTGCCCCCGGGAGCAGAGGTGTGTGGGTGCTGCCTGTGTGCCCCCGGGAGCAGAGGTGTGTGGGTGCTGCCTGTGTGCCCCCGGGAGCAGAGGTGTGTGGGTGCTGCCTGTGTGCCCCCGGGAGCAGAGGTGTGTGGGTGCTGCCTGTGTGCCCCCGGGAGCAGAGGTGTGTGGGTGCTGCCTGTGTGCCCCCGGGAGCAGAGGTGTGTGGGTGCTGCCTGTGTGCCCCCGGGACCGATGGTTCACTCGCTCTAACATCTGCTTCTCTCAAAGATACCCTTTATGACTTAATTTATAACTTCTCCTTAACATAAGAGTTAAGAATGCATACCTACACGATTCGACTCAATGTTATAGTTATGGCAGCCTCAGAATCAAGGTGTTCCGCAATAGTTCTATCTTGCAGACTATACCAGTTCTCTGAGGCTAGGCTCGTCCAAGCTGCGGCCAACCCCACAGACGCAGTCTTTCATGGTAATTTACTGTTTAACTAAAAACGTAATTTACCCTTACATAAATTACTTATATAATCTTGTGCATAGGCCTATTAGGTTTAATTAGGTGCTTAGTTAATGTTGCCAATTATTTGTGTTTTGTAGAACGAGGTGAAGCATTTAGAGAGGTGCGACTCGAACACAGTTAACGAGCGAAGCACTGTCCAAATAAGTTCGAACGTAATCAGATGCGAGTCCATTCCTTCCTCATCAACAAAGGCCAAATGCTAATCCAGCCACCAAACCTGTTTGTGACTGGCCAATACTTTACACACTGCCTGTCCTCAGGCCAGGCTCGTCCAAGCTGCTGCTAGCTCAAAGGACGCATTAATGAATGTTAACACACTGTGTATTCCAAGCAGTGTTTTATAATACATCAATTACTGTTGTCATATATCACAGTTTTATGTTGACTTTACTTATGTTGCGTTGGTAATTAATTGTTAAGAGAACCACAACACCTAACCTAACTATGCACAAAGTTATAATATCTAAAAATATGAACTTATATTTCAGAAACTAATGTTTGTGAGTACAGAGTACGTGATAATTGATGGTTGGGTTGTTAGGGTGAATGAGCGTAGCCCGCTGTAGCGAGGCGGACGGCCGGCGCCAGCACTAAGTTGCTTCGTGCCCTTGGGCCAGATTCACGAAGCAGTTACGCAAGTACTTACGAACGTGTACATCTTTCCTCAATCTTTGACGGTTTTGGTTATATTTATTAAACAGTTTATAAGCATGAAAACTCGCCCATCAACTGTTGTTATTGTTATAAACAGCCTCCTGGTGCTTCGGAGCTCATTAACTGTTTAATAATTGTAAACACAGCCGCCATAGATTGAGAAAAAGTGGACAGGTTCGTAAGTGCTTGCGTAACTGCTTCGTGAATCTGACCCAAAGGTGACATTAGCAACTACATAACCCTATCCTTAGGCAGCATAACAACATAACCCTATCCTTAGGCAGCATAACAACATAACACTATCCTTAGGCAGCATAACAACATAACCCTATCCTTAGGCAGCATAACAATATAATAGGTGTTGAATACATGAAGGGTTGACCGTGAGGCGACAAGTGCTGCTGGAAGGGGACACGATGACCAGCCCACACGTCAGAGAATGAAGAACCGACGACGAGTGTGAGTCGTGTTGTGTGGTCATCCAGCCCCCCCCTCCCCCTGAGGTTTCCCAACGTCAAGAAACTGTCGTACTAAAGTGCCCTTATCCTAACCTACCAGACGACACAAAGCAGAAAACGGGACAGTATGCCACTTTCGCGAACCGCTTCCATTTTCTAATACGATAGTTCTTGTCCTTAGGCAGAGTATACGTCAAAAATGCGACGTTCTATTGCCTAATAGAACATGTTGGGTCATCATATCTTCAGCCACATTATTGTGACTCGTTGTCTGAAAAATTTCTATAGTTTATAATTTGTGTTAATAAGCCGAGCTGCCACAAGCTAGGAGGCGCTGTTGTTGGTTGTGTTGCCCCGCACAGTTACGGTGTGGGGCTCGCAGCGGGTTGTTGGAGTGTTGTGGAGGTAACACTGTTGCAGGCTAGCAAGTTGTCTGTCATGTGTGTTGTACACTCTTCTCAAGGGCTGCTTAGTCAACTTCCTGTAGGCTTCCCTTATATTTGTCTCACACCTGTGTTATCCTGCTCATGTGCTTCTGGGGATGGGTTTGGTGTCCTGTTTAATCCTGGGTCTCTCTGGTCCCACTACACCCAAGGTCCTTGTTCCTCTGGTCCCACTACACCCAAGGTCCTTGTTCCTCTGGTCCCACTCCACCCAAGGTCATTGTTCCTCTGGTCCCACTACACCCAAGGTCATTGTTCCTCTGGTCCCACTCCACCCAAGGTCCTTGTTCCTCTGGTCCCACTACACCCATGGTCCTTGTTCCTCTGGTCCCACTACACCCAAGGTCATTGTTCCTCTGGTCCCACTACACCCAAGGTCCTTGTTCCTCTGGTCCCACTACACCCAAGGTCCTTGTTCCTCTGGTCCCACTACACCCAAGGTCCTTGTTCCTCTGGTCCCACTACACCCAAGGTCCTTGTTCCTCTGGTCCCACTACACCCAAGGTCATTGTTCCTCTGGTCCCACTACACCCAAGGTCCTTGTTCCTCTGGTCCCACTACACCCAAGGTCCTTGTTCCTCTGGTCCCACTACACCCAAGGTCCTTGTTCCTCTGGTCCCACTACACCCAAGGTCCTTGTTCCTCTGGTCCCACTACACCCAAGGTCATTGTTCCTCTGGTCCCACTACACCCAAGGTCCTTGTTCCTCTGGTCCCACTACACCCAAGGTCCTTGTTCCTCTGGTCCCACTACACCCAAGGTCATTGTTCCTCTGGTCCCACTACACCCAAGGTCCTTGTTCCTCTGGTCCCACTACACCCAAGGTCCTTGTTCCTCTGGTCCCACTACACCCAAGGTCATTGTTCCTCTGGTCCCACTACACCCAAGGTTCTTGTTCCTCTGGTCCCACTACACCCAAGGTCCTTGTTCCTCTGGTCCCACTACACCCAAGGTCCTTGTTCCTCTGGTCCCACTACACCCAAGGTTCTTGTTCCTCTGGTCCCACTACAAGATGTGGAACTAGAGGACACTGCTCGCAGCGTTTTGGATACAAGAACTATACTAGTGGCTTTAGGTATTGTATGTACTAGCTCTATCTTTAAATCCAACATTATGTATGTAACTTTACCTTAATACAAAATCTAAATCTAATCTATCTAAATCCAATCTAAAAATCTAATTTTGAATTCTTTACAAGTTTTATACTAGTTTATATTGAGTACTTTGCAGGGTGCGGCCGTCCCTGATGCTGTTCTGTAATTGGAGGGTTTCTGTCTGACCAACCAACAAGGTTGTTAAAAATCTGGACAATTTACATGTGTCTAAGAGTTGTTCTGTTTCTAGTGAGATGTAGATTATCGTTAGTGACTTGCATTGTCTTGTACAGCGGGGCCTCTGTCATTGATGATAACAGGGTAGTTCTTGAGGCTCATGGTAACTGCTCTCGTTCAGTTTAGAACGCTCTCGGTACCTATTGTTGAGTTCTTGCCAGATATCTTTGTCATATTATTTCAGACCATTTCTCCTCGGTAAGATTACTTCAACTTGTATGGTTTAATGTGACTGTGGAGAGGCTTGCTATTTGCTTTTGGCAGCTCTCATTTTGAAATTACTTCTCTCTTTTCGCTCTGATTTTGATTGAATAATTTTGTGCAGACGAGGAGTCACAATAACGTGGCTGAAATATTTTCAAGAAACCACACATTAGAAAGTGAAGGGACGAAGACGTTTCGGTCCGTCCTGGACCATTCTCAAGTCGATTGTGACAATCGACTTGACAATGGTCCATGACGGAACAAACGTCGTCGTCCCTTCACTTTCTAGTCTGTGGTTTGGTCAACATTAATTTTGTGTTTCATTTGTCAATGTTCGATTCTTTTTCCATTTCTCAAGTTTTCGCACTTTTTCCTAGTTTGTGTTGTTGAGGTTTGCTTGAAGGCATTGGTGGTTGAGGCAGGGACAGTGCTTCCTCCTCTCCTTCCTCACTCTTGGTATTGGGATAACTTATCAACTTTTGTGTATTTGAGCATAGTGTATATTATGGTGTTATGTGCTGTGCTCTTGCTGAGGTGAGCATTCCTCTACACTTGCTGCCAACACTCTTATTATCTCACACTCCTCCTTCATACCTCCTTGATGGGGTTCTGGGAGTTCTTCTACTCCCCAAGCCCGGCCCGAGGCCAGGCTTGACTTGTGAGAGTTTGGTCCACCAGGCTGTTGCTTGGAGCGGCCCGCAGGCCCACATACCCACCACAGCCCGGTTGGTCCGGCACTTCTCCCTTCTGATTGTTATGATTGTGTCATGGTCTCTTTCCCCTCCTCCATCTGCCGTCTTCACTGTGCTTGTAAGTGCCACGGCACAGTTACCATGATTGAAGTCCAGTTTGATGAGATTTGCTTCTTGCAGGTCGGCGTTCAATCCCCGACCGTCCAAGTGATTGGGAACCATTCCTTTCCCCCCTCCCACTCTTTCCCATTTCAAATCCTTATCCTTACCCCTTCTCCATCCCCTCCCATCCTACTCTGTTCCATCTTAAATTTTTATCCTGACCCCTTCTAAGTGCTATATAGCCGTAATGGCTTGGCGCTTTCCCCCCAGATAGTTTCCTTCCGTTCTGTGACAATGGTTGGTACTCTGTCATGTATATAATGACCTCGTTATTATAATATATGTCAGTATTATAATATATATATATATTATAATATGTCTGGATCACCTGGTCTTGACTGGCCAGTTATATATTACAACATCTCTTTCAGTTCCTTCTCCTGTTATTACTCTTAAGATAACGACGGTGAAGCTCTTGCAATCTGGTGCTTTAATGTTCTCAAATCAATATTGATTTGCCTGTTTTGATGGCAAAATTGTTGTGTTTATTTCATGTTGTTCTCCTTAGTTTGTGGAAGGCTTTATGGAATATTAGTACATGAGAGAGTGTGTGTACATGTGGTGTTGGCTGATGCTGTTGTTGGTAGCTGCTTCACCCAAACGTCTCCGTTAACGCTATGACTCCAGCCTCTTCAACCTCTCGCTCTAACTTATTCTACTTATTCCCTACTTGAAGACATGCAGTCTACTTTCTATCTCGTTCAGTTTATGTTAAACAGTTTGTCTTTGCCAACTTGTGTTTGAGTATAGTGCAGGTTGTAGTGAGTTATCGTATTGGTCTGTTCTCAGTGTGTCCTCATACTTCATCTCTCTTACTTCAGGTTCCAGCCTAGTGGCCTGTTTTGCGTTCTTTTTTTTGTGCAAGTTTATTGCCGATGCTGAATACTCAAGCACTGGTCTCACGTTCGTGTTACCGACTTCATGGATGATTATTTGAACATGTTCCCGAATCATTACTAATGTTTGCTAGCTTTCAATATGCCGTTCATTTTCAGTATTCAGTTGTCCTTTGAATAATATCCTTCTAGTGATTCTTTTTAAGGGATATTCCTGCGCGGGCCCTTAGCCTCTAGCTGCTGGCCCACTAAGCCCCTTCATTTTTTCCATATCCGAAACTAGAGATCTAGAGGATTACTTCTGATGCTCTACTGTTTCTCTGGTCCCCTTCCTCCTCTTACCATCCTCATTACCTTACAATTGTACGAGTTGATTTCGTGAAGCCACTTAAGCCGCTACACCTTGTTTCTGTCTAGTCCCCATCCACCTTCATATAGCAATGTCAAAGGCACTCTGGCAGTCAAGAATTCCACATTGAACCAATTATTTTATCTGCTGATTAATCCTCATAATAATGCCGTGTAACCATAGATTAGTTGGAGGGTATTTGCCTTTCGTAAACTCTTGGTGGGGGTTTGTTATCAAGTTTGTGCTCTCCAGATGTTGTTAATGCCTAGTATTGCCAATAGTATCTTGCATGGCAAGCCTCTCCTGCTGCAGTGTGTGTGTGTGTGTGTGTTTGTATGTGTAATGTGTGAGTTAGCGTGTTTGAAAGTGTGAGGTTGCATGTATGTGTGAGTGTATGTGTGAGGTTGCATGTATGTGTGAGTGTATGTGTGAGTGTATGTGTGTGTGTGTGTGTGTGTGTGTGTGTGTGTGTGTGTGTGTGTGTGTGTGTGTGTGTGTGTGTGTGTGTGTGTGTGTATGTGTATGTGTATGTATGTGTGTGTGTGTGTGTGTGTGTGTGTGTGTGTGTGTGTGTGTATGTGTGTGTGTGTGTGTGTGTGTGTGTGTGTGTGTGTGTGTGTGTGTGTGTGTGTGTGTGTGTGTGTGTGTGTGTGTGTGCGGGCGTGTGTGATATGTGTAGGTATGCGTGTGTGCGGGCGTATGTGCGTACACATTCGCTTGTGTGTGTGGGGTGGGGGGGGTTAGTACCCGCCTTGACCTGGGATGATGACTTTCATTATATTAACAAGACGCCCGGAGGTCCTAATACCACGCCACACACACACACACACACACACACACACACACACACACACACACACACACACACACACACACACACACACACACACACACACACACGAGACTAGTGCGAAAGCTGTAGATGCAGGCTGGAGTGAAAGGAAAAGTACTCTACTGGATAAGGGAGTACTTAAGTAACAGAAGACAGCGAGTCACTGTGCGGGGTGAGGTCTCGGAGTGGCGAGGCGTCACCAGTGGATCAGTCCTTGGACCTATACTGTTCCTGATACATGTAAATGATCTCCCAGAGGGAATAGACTCGTTCCTCTCAATGTTTGCTGATGATGCAAAAATTATGAGGAGGATTAAGACGAAGAAAGATAGAACGAGGCTACAAGATGACCTAAACAAACTAAAGAAATGGTCCAACAAATGGCTACTAAAGTTCAACCCAAGTAAATGTAAGGTAATGAATCTAGGAGGAGGAACTAGGAGACCAGACACTGGATAGAGAATGGGAGATGAAGTCCATCACGAAACAGAGAGAAAGATCTAGGAGTTGATATCACACCAAACCTGTCTCCTGAAGCCCACATCAAAAGAATAACATCTGCGGCATATGCGAGGCTGGCTAACATGAGAACAGCCTTCAGAAACCTGTGTAAGGAATCATTCAGAACCTTGTACACCACATATGTAAGACCAATCCTGGAGTATGCGGCCCCAGCATGGAGCCCGTACCTTGTCAAGCACAAGACGAAGCTGCAAAAAGTTCAGAGGTATGCCAGTAGACTTGTCCCGGAGCTAAGAGGTATGAGTTACGAAGAAAGGCAGAGAGAACTGCACGTCACGTCGCTTGAAGACAGAAGAGCTCGGGGAGACATGATCACCACATACAAGATTCTCAGGAAAATTGACAGGGTAGACAAGGATGGATTATTTAACACGGGTGGCACACGCACAAGGGAACACAGGTGGAAGCTGAGTATCCAAGTGAGCCACAGAGACATATAACTCTGGTGTAGCGAGACTTGTCTCTGGTGTAGCGAGACTTGTCTCTGGTGTAGCGAGACTTGTCTCTGGTGTAGCGAGACTTGTCTCTGGTGTAGCGAGACTTGTCTCTGGTGTAGCGAGACTTGTCTCTGGTGTAGCGAGACTTGTCTCTGGTGTAGCGAGACTTGTCTCTGGTGTAGCGAGACTTGTCTCTGGTGTAGCGAGACTTGTCTCTGGTGTAGCGAGACTTGTCTCTGGTGTAGCGAGACTTGTCTCTGGTGTAGCGAGACTTGTCTCTGGTGTAGCGAGACTTGTCTCTGGTGTAGCGAGACTTGTCTCTGGTGTAGCGAGACTTGTCTCTGGTGTAGCGAGACTTGTCTCTGGTGTAGCGAGACTTCTCGCTGGTGTAGCGAGGCTTGTCTCCTTGTCTCTGGTGTAGCGAGACTTGTCTCTGGTGTAGCGAGACTTGTCTCTGGTGTAGCGAGACTTCTCGCTGGTGTAGCGAGGCTTGTCTCCTTGTCTCTGGTGTAGCGAGACTTGTCTCTGGTGTAGCGACACTTGTCTCTGGTGTAGCGAGACTTGTCTCTGGTGTAGCGAGACTTGTCTCTGGTGTAGCGAGACTTGTCTCTGGTGTAGCGACACTTGTCTCTGGTGTAGCGACACTTGTCTCTGGTGTAGCGAGACTTGTCTCTGGTGTAGCGAGACTTGTCTCTGGTGTAGCGAGACTTGTCTCTGGTGTAGCGAGACTTGTCTCTGGTGTAGCGAGACTTCTCGCTGGTGTAGCGACACTTGTCTCTGGTGTAGCGAGACTTGTCTCTGGTGTAGCGAGACTTGTCTCTGGTGTAGCGAGACTTGTCTCTGGTGTAGCGACACTTGTCTCTGGTGTAGCGACACTTGTCTCTGGTGTAGCGACACTTGTCTCTGGTGTAGCGACACTTGTCTCTGGTGTAGCGAGACTTCTCGCTGGTGTAGCGAGACTTGTCTCTGGTGTAGCGAGACTTGTCTCTGGTGTAGCGAGACTTGTCTCTGGTGTAGCGAGACATGCCGCAGGTGTGGGCATGGTGGCTGGTCCGGGGACAGGCAGCACTCGTAGAGGGGTGCCGGGCAAGGTCACGTTGGCAGACCTCTGGCCTGGGTTAGAGGGCAGCTGGTGGAGGTCTGGGTAACAGGCAGTCATGGCGGACCTCGGAGAGAACAGGTGTGGCATTTTGCTCGGTAGTGAGTGGTTTAGTGCAGGTGTGGATGGTTAGGTTAACATCTGGCAGGAGGTAATGGTGAGAGCCAGAGACAGGTGTGTGGGGCCCCCGTTGGGTGAAGGCCACACCTGGGTATGTGAGGGAGGGGGGGGGGGGGGGCAGGTAGTCACATAGGAGCTAGGGGTGGGGGGGGGATGGGAGGCTCCTAGGAGCTAGGGGTGGGGGGGGAGGGGTGCTAGGAGTGAGTGACGGTGAAAGGGTAGAGAGGCCGCCGTGTGTGATCATAGCACTGAGTGGAGCGCAGACTCACTCTGAATACCAATACCTGTCACCGAAGCTGGTAAGTGGCTCAGGTCCTCATGCTCTCTTCCCTCACGGTTATTGTGAGTGGAGTGATGGCCTTAGGGAGCGTTGAGTCACGGTAGCTGCCAGAGACCCTCACACCCTGCTCCTTCCTATGGACATCTTGCACAAGTTTTTTTTTTTTTTGCGTGCAGCTGAGGAGTTGCGTGATTAGTACGAGACCCTTTCACTCGTGTCTATATGTCCGCGCTTGTGTCAGTCTTCGCACGCGCTGGTGTACTCACCTAGTTGAACTCACCTAGTTGTGCTTGCGGGGGTTGAGCTCTGGCTCTTTGGTCCCGGCTCTCAACCGTCAATCAACAGGTGTACAGATTCCTGAGCCTACTGGGCTCTATCATATCTACATTTGAAACTGTGTATGGAGTCAGCCTCCACCACATCACTTCCTAATGCATTCCGTCTGTTAACTACTCTGACACTGAAAAAGTTCTTTCTAATGTCTCTGTGGCTCATTTGGATACTCAGCTTCCACCTGTGTCCCCTTGTTCGTGTATCACCCGTGTTAAATAATCCATCCCGGTCTATCCTGTCAATTCCCCTGAGAATTTTGTGTGTCGATCATGTCTCCCCGAGCTCTTCTGTCTTCAAGCGACGTGACGTGCAGTTCACGAAGCCTTTCTTCGTAACTTCCTAATGGGAACTTCCTCTTAGTTCTGGGACTAGTCTAGTGGCATACCTCTGAACTCTTTCCAGCTTCGTCTTGTGCTTGACAAGGTACGGGCTCCATGCTGGGGCCGCAACCCGTTCTCGCAAATTTAATAAGTCAATATTGACTTACTAGTTGCGTGCATAGGTGACATACTAAACATAATAGTTTCCCTTGAAAAGCTTCATAGAATACACCGACCTTACCTAACCTACTTAGTATTTTAAAATAAGCATCTTATAGCTTCGTAATTACAATTGTTACTTAACCTATTATAGGTATAGGTTAGGTAATAATTGTAATTACGAAGCAATAAGATGCTTATCTTAACATACTAAGTAGGTTAGGTAAGGTCGGTGTTTACTATGAAGCTTTTCAACGGAAACTATTATGTTAAGTATGTCACCTATGCACATATTTAATAAGTCAATATTGACTTATTAAATTTGCGAGAACGGGTTGGGGGCCGCATACTCCAGGATAGGTCTTACATATGTGGTATACAAGGTTCCTAAAAATTCCTTGCACTGGTTCTTGAAGGCAGTTCTAATGTTAGCCAGCCTCGCATACGCCGCAGATGTTATTCTCTTGATGTGGGCTTCAGAAGACAGGTTTGGTGTGTTATCAACCCCTAGATCTTTCTCTGTCCGTTTCATGAGAACTTCATCTCCCATTCTGTATCCTGTGTCTGGCCTCCTATCTCCTCCGGCTAGTTTCATTACGTTACAATTACTTGGGTTGAACTTTAGCAGCCATTTGTTGGACCATTCCTTCAATTTGTCTAGGTCATTTTGTAGCGTCATACTATCTTCTGTCTTAATCCTCCTCATAATTTTTGCATCATCAGCAAACATTGAGAGGAACGATTCTATCCCTTTTGGGAGATCATTTACATATATCAGAAACAGTATAGGGCCAAGAACTGATCCCTGCGGGACTCCACTGATGACGCCTCGGCACTCCGAGACCTCCCCCTCACAGTGACTCGCTGTCTTCTGTTGCTTAGGTACTCCCTTATCTAATGCAGTACCTTCCCTTTCACTCCTGCCTGCATCTCCAGTTTCTGCATTAGTCTCTTGTGTGGTACTGTGTCAAAGGCTTTCTGGCAATCCAGAAATATGCAGTCTGCCCAGCCTTCTCCTTCTTGCCTGATTTTTGTTGCTTGGTCATAGAATTCAATTAATCCTGTGAGGCAGGACTTGCCTTCCCTGAACCCATGTTGATGCTGTGTTACAAAGTTATTTCGCTCCAGATGTTCCACTAGCTTTTTTCGCACAATCTTCGGACAATTGAGTGTGTGTGTGTGTGTGTGTGTGTGTGTGTGTGTGTGTGTGTGTGTGTGTGTGTGTGTGTGTGTGTGTGTGTGTGTTTGTGTGTGTTTGTGTGTGTGTGTACTCGCCTAATTTGAGCTTCGGCTCTTTGGTTCAGGATTTCAACCGTCAATCAACTGGTGTACAGGTTCCTGATCCTACTGGGCTCTATCATATCTACACTTCTGACTGTGAATAAAGTCAGCCTCCACCACATCATTGTCTAATGCATTCCATTTGTTAACTACTCTGACACTGTTAAGGTTATTTTAATGTCTCTGTGGCTCAAGTGGGTAATCGATTTCCACCTGTGTCTTCGTGTGCGAGTACCACCCCTGGCAAATAATCTGTTTTTATTTACCCTATCAATTCCTCTGAGAATTTTGCATTTGGTAATCATGTCTCCTCTAATGGTTCTTTCTTCTGGCGACATGAGGTTCAATTCACGCAGTCTTTCCTAACATCTTATATCTCGTAGTCCTGGAAATAGTCTCGTGGGGTCCGTCTAAAAGCTACCTAAAGGCTCCTAGTATTACGTAAGTAATGGAGACGTACTTAATATTTACTCACTATATTGCTGGTGCTGAATGTACAACATGAAAAAAAAAACATATATTTACTCTGAAGTAATATAATTTTATAGCGAAATTAAACGAAACTTAAGTGGCAGGTGACGCCACAGGAAGTCGACGATCTAAGTGACAATGTTGTGGAGCAACTTATCCAAGACACATTGTTGCCTGGAAAGTGTTGGCTGGCATATCAGCCTCCTGTACCTACCCTAACCTAACCTTCAGGTTAGGTTAGGTTACCATTGTTTTGTGTAGTATCTAGAACAAAAACTACACCCTGCAGTGGGCCCTTGTGCCAGGGTGATGGAACCTTCGCAGATGACAACAAATAATTGAGTGAAATACTGTGGCTACAGTACGATTCTGTTTACAGTGAACCCCTAAACACATTGCACATCAATGATCTAAACCAATTCTTCATAAATGAGGCAACAACATCGAACCATATATTAGATGTCACCCTATCCCCATTGAACTTTGAAGTAGAGATAGACAGCATGCTCAGGCACTCTTCACCACACCCACACTCCTGGACGTCTATATTCACCAAGAAGTGCAAAACACCACTATCACAGGCCCTAAACATCTGTGAAGATGGAGACTAGATACTGGTATTATCCCCGGCTTACTTAAAACAGTACGCACCACTTCACTAAGTAGGTAGTCAAACTGACGGAGAAAATTATTGATCAATAACTCTATCATCATATAGCACTCTCGAACATTTTCATGATAAGAAGTAACATCAAAACATTTAGAATCACATCAACATAACCCTGGACAACATGGATACAGAACAAGGCGCTAGATCACTATGCTATTGTCTTAGATGCCGTGGAAGATAAGCAAAATACAGATTTAATATACACAAGTCTTCGCAAAAGGTTTCAGCAAATGTGGCCTTGGTGCTATTGGTCATAATATGCGATACAATGAATTACTGGTAAAGTAGGGAGATGAGTCTTTTAACTTCCAGGCGAACACAACCTAGCGTGTAATACTCAGAGTAAAATCCGTATCATCGACTGTGAAAAAGCAGTTCCCCAAGCTACTGTGCTTGTTCTAGTACTTTGCCTCAGAGAAAAAGTATAATATAGAATACAATACATTAAATACAAACTATAGTACTGTATCATACTTTGAAGATGACAACAGGATTTTCACGAGTAGACAATACATAGGACACAGCAAACCTTCAATCTGATGCTAATCAGGTGTCTCAATGGCCACAGAAAATAACACGTTGAGTGAGGATACGATGCAGCTACTGCACTACGGGGAAAGTGAAACTATCAAAACGGAAATCATATATAAAAGTCAGTCAAACCACACAATTGATAGAAAAAGCAATGTAAAAGATATGGGAGTAATCATGTGGGAAGACCTTACTGTCAAAAAACAATAAAGTAGCTGGCAGGCAGGAGAAATATATAATAATTTTAGTTTGGGAAATACTAGATGGACTGGTTCCAAATCTGCAAAGAGAAATAATACCTCACGAGACCACGAGAGATGGCAGAATGTGCAAACTGCCTTATTAACAACCTGAGATGCAACAGGTATGCTGAGAGAGAACGCTGAACATTAAAAAGACTTGTCAACACTCCCTCTACACTTAAGGAACATTTATGTGTAGCTTCATTTCTTTACATTTACTTTAGTTGAACTCTAGTTGCCATTTGTTAGACCATTTCTTCAGTTAGTCCAGGTCATCTTGTAGCCTCTTGCTATCTTCCTCTGTCTTCATTCTTCTCGTAATTTTCGCATCATCAGCAAACATTGAGAGGAAGGTCGTTTACATATATTAGAATCGGGGTAAGTCCAAGAACTGAACTTTGTGGATAACGTCTTGCCAGTCAACGACCTCCCCCCCCCCTCACAGTGTCTTCTGTGGCTTAGGTACTCCCTTATCCACAGAGTACCTTCCCTGTCACTCCTGCTTGCATCTCCGCCTAA